AATGATATTGTTCTTTCATTTTCTTTTTATTTTTTATAGAAATTGTTTGATGTTAAAAGATTTAAATTAAAATTTTTATTTAATTTTCATAAAATTACTAATTATTACATTCAATTTTTAATTATGAATAAATTAAAAAATTGAAAGGTTAGCAACAAAGATTATAGAGTTTAATGATTTAATATTTACATAATTACTATATGTTTTAAATTAAATCTTATTTCTTACTTTTTCAAAATTTAAAAATGTTATTTTTGGTATGACCAATTGAACCAATCAATTGAATCGATTCAATCAATTGAACCAGACTTGATGCACAAAATGGATTGAGTACTAAGTCGGTTCTTGAAACATTGATAAATACTCCATCCATTTCAAAATATAAGTTATTTAACTTATTTTACATAATTCTAGGTGATGTTTTTACATATTTTACAAGTAAATCCACTGCACTATACACGCTGTTAATTAGTTCCTCTTTTGCCAACCATAGGTTATATGAAATTCTCGTGACCCTACATTATAATTGGGCAATCAATAAGAGATGGGCTGGAGCCTATTTTTAATTGGGTTGGGTGTTTTTTTAGATGTTAAGTAGTTTTTGATTTTTCTCAAATCAAATAAAAGTATAAAACTATTCAATGAGTATATATTATGCATAGTTTAATAGAAAGTCGTAATTATTATTTATATATTATAAAATTATTATTTAAGTAAATGAGTGAAAATGTCTAACGGAATTATATTTTAAACCAGAGTATTAAAATTTTAAAAATTTTGAATAGCTACATATTAAAATATATATAATTGATTTGTATCAATTTGATAATAACTATATATGAATCTGATAAATGAATTTAAAAAGTACAAAATGGGTTCTAAATAAAAAATAAATAGATAAATATAAAGAAATCTTGTTTTATACTTTAGATTGCAATAACTTGTAAAACAAAAATCATTATATAAAGAGGAGGATCTCCGATATCAAGGAGTTCACGTCATCTAATGTTAGTGTAATGAAATAAAGTACATAATGGTAGTCCAATTTTGAAACTGCATTATACTTTTTCATAAATATATTAATAAAATATATAAAGGCAAGTTAAGAGATGATATCATAAGAAAAAGAAAAATTATTAGTACATTCTCTTATTTAACACATCTAGCAATACCTTCCGACTCAGTCATTAAAATTTATTATTGAAAATTTTTTCACATTAAATTCAAATTTAAAAATATTGGTTTCTAAATGAATAAACCAGAGTGTATTATACAATATGTTAAATTAGAGAGTATATCAATCATTGTCTTAAGAAAAAAGAATGAAACACAAAGTATATATAAATGAAAAAGTATCATGAAAATAATTATATCTTTTATGTTTTGATAAACCCTTTAAAAATAAGCATTCACGGGAGATGAGAAAAATTAGGTTAGAAAGGAGATCTATAATAGTAATGGTTATGGATGGAAAAATAAAGAAATTAATGAAGATTTGCTGAAGGATGCTGATTGGTGCACACCCGGTGTTGCACCCCACATAGAAAAAAAAAAAGGGACTGGGTGGGGTTGGGTTTTTTTTTTTTTCAATGGGGGAGTGTGCACACCCGGGTGTTGACCCGGGTGTGCACATATCTTTATCCTTTGCTGAACTGCCCCATTAGGTTGATCTCAAAAAATTTTAATTAATAGATTTGTTTAAAATTATTTTTATATTTATTAATTAAAAATTAATTTTAATTATACACTACTATTATTATATTTAATAATTTTTTTAAAAAAATACAATATGAACAAACTACACATGCTACCAAGCCTAATAATTAAACTAATTTTAATTAAATTTTTATATAATTTATTAATAGATATATTAATATATAATGAGAAAAATGTATACCAGTCCAACTCCCAAAAATAATTAGAGTCTTAATTTTAAATTATGTTATTTTATTTAATTAAAA